ATTATTGTTATTGTAGTTTATTTACTGAATGGTAAGCATGCAACGCAATGTGAGACAAGCAATGAAAATATCCTTGTTATTTTTGAATTTTCTGTAATTACAATTGAATATAATAATGTAATTTTAACCTTTTTAATAAAAGAGAAGAAAAAAAAAGCGCCTGTCTAGTAAACAGGAGATCCTGAGTTCGAATCTCAGTCGTGTCTTTTTTTATTTAGGTGCTTCACCGAACAATTCGTTGTTTGATAATTACATTATTGACACTCATGATTGGTACTCGTCCAGTGTTAGGAAATTCTCTTCAGGCTGGAGAATGATATGCAAGTAAATCGGAACATGTTATCATTTTAAAAATAAAAATAACCTGGAAATTGAAATATCACTGTGTCGATGAAACTTATGACACTTTATATGAATCATAATAATGTCCATACAGTGTACCGAGAGGTCGAAACGAAAGGTCAAAGTTTGTGACGTGGGCGCCATGGCTTAGCTGGTTCAAGCGCCTGTCTAGTAAACATGAGATGCTGAGTTAAAATCTCAGTGGTGCCTTTTTTTATTTAGGTGCTTCACCGAACAATTCCTTGTTTGATAATCACATTATTGACACTCATGACTGGTACTCGTCAGGGATTGGGAAAGTCTTTTTAAGCTGGAGGATGATATGCAAGTAAATCGGAACATGTTATCATTTTAAAAATAAAAATAACCTGGAAATTTGAATATCACTGTGTCGATGAAACTTATGACACGTAATATGGATCGTAATAATGTCCACACAGTGTACCGAGAGTTCGAAACGAAAGGTCAAAGTTCGTGACCAGGGCGCCATGGCTTAGTTGGTTAAAGCGCCTGTCTAGTAAACAATTCCTTGTTTGATAATTACATTATTGGTACTCGTCCAGTGTTGGGACATTCTCTTCAGGCTGGTGGATGATATGCAAGTAAATCGGAACAGGATATCATTTTTAAAAATAAAAATAACCTGGAAATTTGATCGTAATAATGTCCATACAGTGTAAGGAGAGGTCGAAAAGAAAGGTCAAAGTTCGTGACTAGGGCGCCATAGCTTAGTTGGTTAAAGCGCATGTCTAGTGAACAGGAAATCCTCAGTTCGAATCACAGTGGTGCCTTTTTTATTTAGGTGCTTCACTGAACAATTCCTTGTTTGATAATCACATTATTGACACTCTTAATCGGTACTTGTCCAGGGTTGGGTAATTATTTTTAGGCTGGTGGATGATATGCAGCAAAATCGGAACGTGCTATCATTTAAAAAATAAAAATAACCTGGAAATTGAAATGTCAATCTGTCGATGAAACTTATGACACTTAATATGGATCGTAATTATGACCATACAATGTACTGAGAGGTCGAAACGAAAGGTCAGAGTTCGTGACCAGGGCGTCATCGCATAGTTGGTTAAAGCGCCTGTCTTGTAAACAGGAGATCCTGAGTTCGAAACTCAGTGGTGCTTTTTTTTTATTTTGGTGCTTCACCGAACAATTCCTTGTTTGATAAGTACATTATTGACACTCATGATTGGTACTCGTCCAGGGTTGGGAAATTCTTTTTAGGCTGGTGGATGATAGGCAGCAAAATCGGAACATGCTATCATTATAAAATAAAAATTACCTGGAAATTTGAATATCACTGTGTCAATGAAACTTATGACACTTAATATGGATGGTAATAGTGTCCACACAGTGTACCGAGAGGTCGAAACGAAAGGTCAAAGTTCGTGACCAGGGCGCCATGGCTGAGTTGATTAAAGCGCCTGTCTAGTTCGAATCTCAGTGGTGCCTTTTTTATTTAGGTGCTTCACCGAACAATTCGATGTTTGATAATTACATTATTGACACTCATGATTGGTACTCGTCCAGGGTTGGGAAATTCTCTTTAGGCTGGTGGATGATATGCAAGTAAATCGGAACATGCTATCATTTTAAAAATGAAATTGAAGTATCACAGTTTCGATGAATCTCATGACACTTAATGTGGATCATAATAATGGCCATATAATGTACGGAGAGGTCATAACGAAAGGTCAAAGTTCGTGACCAGGGCGCCATGGTTTAGTTGGCTAAAGCTCCTGTCTAGTAAACATATCAGATCAAAGATAGAAGTAACATATTTTTGCATGACATTACTGCGTATGATGAATTATTGGTATGACTGATGTATAACATTGCGAAGTAAGTTATGTCATGTCGTAACTTTTATGATCGCTTGAAAGTTGTATTTGTTCGTTCATTTCTATACGTCGTATATGTAAAAGTTTTAGAAGCTGAAGATATGATCGATAAATAACAATCTGTCAAATAATTAAAGGAGAGTGCTTATGCCAAAAATAAGATCATGAAACTCGTGAAAATATACTAGCTAAAACATTTCATTAGCGTTTCATTTAACCTTTTACAATGAACATCGCAACAATATATATTTTATGTTTCCGTTTTTTGCATTTTGAGAATGTTTAATTTTTAATTTCGAACTCTTCTAAATTGTGAAACATAATTTTTTTACTCCAATAAATTATTAGCACTGCGGAGAAGCTCATTAATATTCAATGTGACTCATTAATATTCAAATAACTCATTAATATTCATGAGCGACCGACACTCTCATTGGGCTGGCGAGAAGTATCACAATGTCGATGAATGTTGTGATCCTTAATATTGATCATAACAATGACCATATAATGAACCAAAGAGGGCGAAACGAAAGGTCAATTTAAACGGCAAGGGCCCCATTGCTTAGTTGGTTAAGGCGCTACCCTAATAAAAAGTATATTCTGAGTTCGAATCTCTGTTTTTCCTTTTTTATTCAGGTTCTTCACCAAACAATTCGTTGTTTGATAAATAATTTACTACCATTCGTGCATGATTGATTACTCGTCCAAGCCTTGGAAAAGTTGCTATTGACTGTTTAATGATATGGAGATAAGTCTCAAACACATTTGTAAATGTACAAATCCACTGATTTTATTTTCTTGGGTTAACAACCCCTAACGCATACAAAATATCAAAATTCCACTTCCAATCCCCAGTTTAATTCGATAGCAGTATTAATCCAATGACCATGCTATCATTGTTTATTAATTAATTAAAATTTAAAAATATAAATACCACAATGCCGATGAATGTTGTGACACTTAATATGGATCATAATAGTGATCGTACGGAAATGTCGAAATGAAAGCTTTCTCTTTGCTGACTATGGCGCCATGGCTTAGTTGGTTAAAGCGCATGTCTAGAGAACAGGAAATCCTCAGTTCGAATCACGAAATGAAAGGGTGAAAGGGCGCCATGATTTGGTGGTGTCAGGTAAGTTGCTATTGACTGATAGATGATCTTAAAATTAATATCGTGAAAAAATATGTAAATGTACCAATTTAATGGTCATATTTTCACAATCTATCTCACATACTCATAATTTTTAAAATAAAGATGTTTTTTTTTTAATTGAATGTATTTGATTCACGGTGTCATTGATTGCAGTGCATCGTGGTATGGATCATATTACTGGCCATATAACATAATAAATATACGCGTGTATGCTCTCTATATACTGTAATATATTTATTCATTTGTACAAATACAAATAGAGACAGTATTATGTGGAAAATGTACACATAACCACGTGTCTGATCGGTTTGTGTAAAACTCAACAACTCAAAGATTGTGTGTATTATTCTGGATGTAAACCTAAAGTTCCTAAATAAATTGCGGTGACTTCAATACCAAGAAAAATATTACCAACAACGTACTGTTTTTTTTCTAATTAAATTGATTCGTATTTCACTGTAATCTGTGATAGTTGTGTTGATAGGGTTTCTTTGTATTAACACGTCATCGCTGAATGTGATGTAATAACATTACTGTCTGTTTCGGTATGTGTATCACGTGACCACTATAATTACACTGACCTAACGCAGTATGAACCAACGTTATTGATTGGTTGCACCACAGTTAATTAAAATAGCTTAATAAATACAGCTGTAAATGATGTCCGTTTCCACTGTCCGTTTCCACCGTCAGTCCCCGTAGGTTGCCACAGTTGTTGCTGCTAGCCCACACTCAAAGTGTTTGGAGGAAGTTTGTGGCGTTTACTTGGCGATAATAGGATTGGAGAACACGGAGTTTAGGCCAGTCGAGCAGCTGCGGTTGGTGGAGCCAGATTGAAAATTCTTATTAAAAGAGCCTGCCAGGTAAATGAACCATACGTGTAGTAGCGGTGTTTTCGGCAAATAACTAACTATGGACTGTATCCTTCGAAGCTTCATGTAGTGAATGACCCACACCTGTAAAAAAAGGTTTGGCATTTTTATGACATCAGGTCCTCAACTGAACCATGAAATAATTTAGGGTGAAGATGGTCATAGTAGTGACTTTTAAAAATATTGACGACTTTTTCTGTCAGTATTTCACTTTGTTTTAATGTTTAAATACAAGATCCCGTGTAGATTCGTGTACTTTGTCTTGATGATAACGATATTACTGTAGATGTTTTACGTACAGGTTGGACGTTTCGGCTCTGGTTGCTTTCGGCCCTGATGAAAAATATAGTTTATCGTTCTGGTTTTGAACGCTACGGCACTATAACATGTTGGTTAATGGTATAAATTATATTCGAAATAGTGTTAATATATTAAATGCACAACAGATGTTCGGATTTATGATTCACAGCATATTTTTATTGAAATGTTTTGAAATCGTCGAACGTGGTGCCTATTGAAATTATGATATTGTAGCATAGAAAAAATAGTGAAATCATATACATTTTTTTTACAAATAACCTTCATTGAAGCGCGGTACTGCACTGAGAAAGATAATATTCATACAAACAATTAACTCGGTTCAAGATGGGTTGTATTTTTCTAATTACATACACATATAATCTAAATAAGTGCCAAAATGAAGACTAAATCGTAGAATATGGACATTTTATTTTGTTAATTTACTGTGTTGCTGCCTAATTGTTTGGGTAATCCATTGGTAATTTGTTAATAATAATTACCTCACTTTTTGTGATTTAGAAGATGGAAACTAATATCATTATTAGTCAAGAGATTGTGTTTTCATAGGGCTACTACAGAATGTCTCTCATTAGTCTTTTAGATGGATATCTCCTGGATATATTTAGATTGACATTTATTTTGCATCAGTAATTATCTACAGCTAAGTTATATTATATTACATTATGTTTGTGATTGTTTGAGATTCTTTTCACAACTAACTCAATATCAAACTATCCAAATAATATTATATTACACTTGCATTTTGGTACACATTTATGCATAACAATTAGTTGATTTGCATGTGCCTACACCAATAAGAACATTAGACCCACCAACTGATCGGGACAGCCCGTGGAACTGAGTTAACCTATATGTTTATTAGAATTATTGTAAAAATCAAATGATATTAGTAACATTATTGGCCCAAATTACTTTAAAAATATTTAAATAGCTAAATAACTCCATGCATGAATCTTAATTTAGCTAAATCATGAACAATCTCATTGTGAGAATATACTTTATTATTTTAAATTAGCGAAATCTTGAATTAGCGAAATTACAGATTAGCTAAATTAGCAAAAAAGAATTTTTTACAGGAGTAGGGACGGGGTAATGTGACAGGCCACATGGCCTATACTATATCTGGAAATGTTACACACTTGTACAATATTTTCCAAATATGTTAATTTATATTGTCATAATTATAAAAAAGAAAAATATTTTTTTAAATATATTGACAAAGCAGGCTCCTAACATACGACTTGATACAGAAATGACGCCATTTATTTATCATTCATCCCTAACTGGTCAAGTCAATGTAAAAGTACATGGCGCTGGCATGATAAGGTTAAATAATAACTACGTTTACAAATAAATTCACTGGATACATACACCATAAGCTAGCGATCGACAGTTTATATGGCCAGACGTTCAAAGGTAGTTGTATGTTGTACCTAAGTTACCAGCACGTGGATATGATATCGAAATTACGGTTTAGAACATGTACTGAAAGTGAATCGAGGTATATGTAGATTTTTGTTTATTAATTGTTATGGTTTATTGGTCTTTCTGTATTTTTTATTTATAAATCGAAATCAAGACCATAATATGGA